GAGAGAGTGAGAGAAAGAGAAATCACATCAGATATCACGGTGATCAGTTATCAAGGTTGGGGGTGGGTGGAATCCTAGGTACTGACTTTGCAGGATTCTTGCTAAAATTGGACAACGCAGAGATGAACATGGTAGTCCACAAGTCAAGACCTAGTTGAGAAAAAAGTTCAGAGGAGTCTGAGTAGAGTTGGGTTGAGACTGTCTGCCACCAGTTCCCAGGCCAAACACCCTGCCCACCCTTACCAATGGCTGGCCTGAAAGGGTATCTCGCCACGACCCTCCTTACCCCAGAACGACTCAGGAGACACGGGCCCACGCAAGAGATTTTATTATCTGAAAGAGAAAACGACTTCCTCCAGAGAGAGGGAGCAGCAGCTCGTGGGTGAGGAAGCGCGTTTTTAAGGAGTAGGGGTAGGGTGTGTTCTGCGTTGGTGATGGGATCTTAAGGGGTGGGCGACCATCTGGTCGGTGGTGATTGGATCTTAAGGGGTGGGGGTTTTAGCGCGCCAGAATTTGCCTTCATGGCCAAGCCCTGCGAAAGCAGCCCGAAGTACAAAGCCCAGTGACACTGCAGTAGCACGGCAAACAGGTGCTGTAAGTGCCAAGACCAAAAAGAAAAAGTTTTTTAAAGTAAAGGTCATAGTATAAGCTCACAGTGCTACCTTACTTTCAATTCTGAAATGCAGTAAGTTCTAAATATTTGATGTTTTTTCTAAGTTTTGAGTAAACTCATTTGAACTGATAGGAGACTATTTAAAACTTTTATATACCCCACGTAGGGTTATTTGTGAACATTCACACATTTCTGCTGCAGAAACATCGATTATAGTATGTTGTTTCGGATTCTGCTGCAGGTACTTCATTACAGTATATATGTACATATGTTGGGGGTGAGGCACTGTGTATTTTCCTCGGTTCTTGTCCCCGCTGTGACAAAGAATTGAAGGGCAGAGACAAAGTAGTAAAGCAGAGTATAAGTTTTATTTAAAGTTACTTAGAAAGTACAGGTGACCTCAGAGAGGGGAGTGCCCTGAGAGGCTGGAGAGAGAGAGTTTAAGATTAAAAGCTTACACACTTAGAAAGTGTGGGTGATCCCAGAGAGAGGGGAGCCCTGAAAGGGTGGGGGTTCCCCCTTTTAAGGATTTTTTTCAGGAATGTGACAAGGGGCTGGGGGTGTGGACTTGTTAAGTGGTCTCAAGTATCTTTGATGAGACAGTAAGTTTCTTATCAGTTCTCTAGGTAATTCAGCAAAATTAGTTTAACACAAGAAATTTCCTGCTTAGGTCCCCTCCCAGGATAGCAGCTTCCTGGTTTGGGAGCTTGTCAATCAAGACTGTCTGCCCTTCCTCCAAGGTGGGCAGAGTTATTTGTTTGCTAAGCAGTATGTTAAGAATCTTTCTTCTTAAACTTCCTGGGTTTTGTTTTCAAAATGCAATTTTGGCTTTAAGGTGGGATCTCCCTGCCTTTATTATGCTGTTTATAGGTGCGCCTTTTAGCAGGCTAGAGTAAACCTTACCATGATCTAATTGACACAGTGAAGACATGAGCTGTGCTCAGATATTTCTCTTAATCTGGGGAATATTCAAACATTCAGGGCCAAGTTTTTCTTGCCCTTTTGAGCTTTAACTGATTAACTCATTAACTCTGAGCCTTCTCTGGATTTCTAGTTTTAACTGGTTTACTGAGTCCTTTCTAGGGGGTTTTACTGACCTTGTTCTCTTTCGACCCGGCTCATGTCTACTTTCCTGCCCAACACATATATATACTGCCCTTTAAAAAAAAAATCCTAAAAATTCTGAATTCCACAAATACTTCTGGTCCCAAGCTTGAGATGTAATTTTCAACATTGTGTGAATCTATGGTACAAAATTATTTGATATACATATTGTAAGTCCAGGGAGAGGAAATCCTGGGGGAAAATACCTCTAAAAACCAAAATCAGTCAAAAGGAGAAACAAAGTTTAAAATCCGTTTATTGCTTAGAAACTGCAGTCTGGGACCTTCTCTCTTTCCTGCTCCAGCAGAAGCAAAACTAGACTTTCCCCTCACCTCTCGGGTGCAGATAAGCCCTCCTCGCCCAGGTAATTACCCACTGATATGGAGATAACTTCTCTCCACCCCTGAGGAATGACGCAAATGCACTAAAGCCATACTTCTCTCCACCTCTGAACGCCTACTGATATGCAGATGTATTAAAGCCAGGCGAGATAATCTGAAAATGTTACAATTTTACACATATATATGGCAAAATGATTACAAAAGGGTTAGCTCATCCGTCACCATATAATTTTTTTATGGTAGGAACTTAAAAATCTATTCTTCTAGGAACTTTCAAATTTGCAATACAGTATTGTTAACTGTAGTTACCATGCTGTACATTACATCTTTAGAACTTAGTTTATAACTGGAGGATTCCAAGGGTTTTTGATATAGGATTGAGTAGCAGTGACAGCATTAATATAGGAGCACTACTATAGTAATACACTGTGTACTGTGTACTCTGTGTCAGGCGTTGTTCTAAATACTATATATATAAGTACATTTAGTCCTAATACCCCTTGAGTCATCATTATCTTTTATAAATAAGAAAACCGAGGTAGATCAGCTACCGGATTTGCTGAGAATCATGCAGCAAATAGCCCAACTGAACAGGGTGTCATCCTTTTCACCGTGATTGAAAACGGGGCTTTCTAACACATGGCGTCTTCGACTGCAGCAGGACGGCAGCCTCGCAGAGACCCGAGTCACAGAGACAGGCGAACGGCCTGGGGCTGCTTGGATCTGGGTGCTTCCCTCCTTCCCAGCCCCCCCGAGCGGCCCTCCAGGTGGCGGGAAGGCCGCAGCAGCAGCAGGGACGAGCCACACACCCGTCCCTTTTTCAACAGGAAGGAAAACCATTCCCAGAGCCCTGCCCTCAGCGGACCTCTAGTTCCCACTGGCCACCGCGGGCCAACCCGGCGGGGGCGGCTGAAGCGCATCTCAGTCAGTCGGGGGGGGGGGAGGGGGGCTCCCGCGGAAGCCCGGGTCCCGGAGGCGGGCGCGGCTGCGGCGGTTCCGAGAAGCGAGCAGAATCGTGCTCCCGAGGCGCCCAGCCAGACCCGTCCCCGGTCTCCGGGTCCGCACGCCCCCCGGCCTGCAGAGAGCCGGGCGCTCCCCCGGGCCTCGCACAGGGACCTTCCGCGCTCCGGGGCAAAGCCGGCTGGAGCACCCGGGTTGCACCTCGGCCGCCTCAGGGACTACGACTCCCACAAGGCTCGCCCATGCTGATTGGCCAGCTGCGCTGTCTATCAACCAACCGGCGCGAGGTCTGTACTTCAAGTGTGGCGGGACCCCTGAAAGGGCAGGTTTTTCGGCGCCCCACGGCTGACTCAGTGACCGGAGAACTGACATGCCGGCGGCCCTTGTGAAACAACGGCCGGGGACAGAAGTACGGCCTGCCCAGGACTCCGGTCTCCGCCCCTCCTCCTCCGCTCCATATTCCTGCTGGCGGCCGGCCCGGGCTCTCATTGGCTCCTCCCGGGCACGTGGGGAGAAGGCGCGGATGCACGGCGTGGGCGGGGCGTCCGGCCCTGACTGGACCAGAGACGGAGTGGACTCCGGCCCGGGGCCCCATGGATACCCTGACGCCGGGCCGGTGGCGGCGGCGGAGGCCAGACGAGTTGCAGGTTCTGGGGGAAGCGGTGAGCTCCGTGGGGGCCTGGACGTCAGAAACGGGAGAGCGGCGGCCCAATTGGGCCTCGCATCTACCCGCGGCCCTAGGCAGAGAGGCCTGGCGGGAGAATTTGCCCAAGCGGGGCGTGGGTGGGCGGAGCCTTGGGGAGTGGCGTGGGTGGGCGTGGCCTGTGCGGGATCGCCTCTCCCCGCTAGGTTTCCCTCGGCCGCGCCTGCGCAGAGGTGAGGGCCAGCCAGTAGGTATTCCCCCGTGCCCACGCTCTGGGATCCGGGACCCGGGTCTCCGGGTTGCGCGCGGCCTGACGTGCCGGGCCTAGGCCAGCGGGTGTCCGCCTGCGTTGTGCCTCCGCCTGGACTGAGAGCTGACGGGGCCCTGATCAGCCGGTGGGACCGCAGGAAAATAGAGGACAGGGACCAGCCCAGGGTGGGGCTTTGCGGGGAGCAGGTGGCGGGGCGGGAAGGCTGCGCCCTCTGGCCCTGTTGAGCGCAGTAGCGGCCCCAGCATCTCGGAAGCTGAAGGTCCGCCTGCCTCTGGACCCACAGGTCTGACAAGCATGAGGCTGTCTTTTAAGTTAAGGCGGTGACGTTTTTCTCAAACGTTTTGCACAGCGTGACAGAGGTGACTAGCTTTCTGCGCCCCTCCCACTGCCTGGCCACGAAGCCACTGTCCCGCTGTGTCACAGCAGCACCCTGCTTCCAGGGACCATGTCACTAGAGCGCAGGTTAAGCTTCTGTAGCAGAGACTTCAAAGCACAGTGGCTCAAGCGAGGGGAAGTTTGTTTATCCTGCGCAGGACTGTGGAGGTGAGCAGTCCAGGGACCCTAAACACAGGTATGGGGCTGGTGGTACTAGATCAAAGACATCCAGGGACCTTGATTTCTTATTTCTGTGGCTCTGGCACTTGCTGGGTGTTGTCCTCTTCAAGGTCAACGCTGGCTCATCACTACAGTGCTCACATTCTAGGCATATATAGTGACATGATAATACATTTTAAGATCTTACCCTGGATTCTCTGTGGAAAATGAAAGGATGCTGGTCAGAGTGCAAAGAGCATGTATATTATGAGAGGTGGCCCGACCTGGACAGAGGACAGGTTGCTGGGGAGAGTAGACAGACTCGGCTTCATATTTTGGAGGAAGGACAGGGTGCTGGTGTGGATGTGGAAGGTCGTGTAAGGGGAGGAGTCCAGGATGACTCCCGGGGCTGCACCTGTGGGCAGGGGTGCTGTCACCGAGAGGAGATTGATGTGGAGCAGGGGTGCTGAGGGGCCCCAGGCAGGCCGTGCTGAGTTTTGTGTCCCTGAGACGCTTAGCAGACATGGAGGACACTGCCAGGTGTTGAGTGGTTGCCTGGTGGGTTTTCTGAATTTTGCAGTAGCCTTATTACCGTGAGGAAGCTGAGGTACAGAGAGGTTAGTCAGCTGGCCTCAGGATGCACAGCCGTCAGTGGTGGAACTGCGGCCTTCAGAGCCTGTGTTCTCATCATGCAGCTTCTGATGTGGGGCTTTTGGAACTAAAACATGAGGCTTCACAACAAAGCCTCAAAATGATGAAAAGTGCGATGGCGTGGGCTGTCAGGGTGGGGCCGGAGGTGATGTGGGTGAGAGGCGCAGCAGTGGTGCCGAGGGGAAGCCTTGAAGGAGCTCTCACGTTGGAACTGCTGGATTTAAGGGCCCGGCTGGAGGTTGCAATACTTCCCGACTGGTACCAGGTAAGAGTGGGTTTGGTGTCTTACAGCTGTGGTGCGTATGGCCTCTTGATCTGATTATGTGCTTGTTTATGTTGTGGGCTAGTCTTTGATCCAATAATCCAGACTGAGTTCAGTAAAGCATCTAAGTTCTTGTCTCAACTTCTCTGCTCTCTCTCTCACAACCTCTAGAATTTGGTTACCCAGGAAGTGCAAATTGTTTCCTTCCTGTGTTCACAGACTGGTTAGTGTATGATAACCCTCAGTGGGGTTCTAGAAACTATGGCTGCCAGCACCCATCTCTGTAATAGCTTTGTAAATGAGTCTTACCAGAGCCAGTGAGGCGCCTCATGTAGTCCTGTGAGTATCCTCACCCTGCGAAGGTTAGTTAATGGGGGAACACATGGAGCAGTTATCGTTCCCATTGGGAAGACATATTTGGAGGCACCCATTGTATACCAAGCATTGCTCTAGGCTCTGGCATAAGGAAAGTTGGTGGTTATGTTGACCCAATAACTTGGGGGCATCCAGGACTTGGTTCTTTTCAGGACTGTCTTGCCAATGGGTTTCAGCCCCAGGCAAGTTTGCTATGGATTCAATGTGACCAAAGAAAATGACAGCAAAACGTTCTTGGGGTGAAAGGGTTATACCCAACTTTATTTCCAGGTGGCAGGTCAGTCACTAAAATCCTGTTCACTCAGAGCAAGTCTGTATGCAGCAAGCTGGTCTCTGCCTCTGGGCCCCTCGGTCCACACAGCGGTCCCGCACAGCCATCCTCTGGGCCTCTGTCCTCTGCTCTGCTCTCCTGCAGCCTTGCAGTTCTGCCACTGTGTGGTGCCCAGAGCACTGGGTGGAGCTCTTTTTATAGAGTCAACAGCCATGTACTGCCCACAGGTGTGCAGTGAGCTAGTCAACCAGGGCCAGGTGAGCATCCTGGCCACAGGAGCTCTCATTTTATCCACAAGGACCCTGCCCTCGACTCACTCACCACATGTTCCAGAATAAATGTTTGTCCAGAACACCTGAAGAACTGTGTCCAGGCAGCCTTTCCTGTCTCCAAAGACTCTTCCTAAAGAGTTCTGCAAAGAACAAGTTCTGAATGGGAGTGGGGCAGCACCTGAGGTGCCTGGACTCACAATAGAATTGGTGTGTTTTCTGATTTCATCTGGGTTGACCCAAGATCCCTTTTCCACCTTTTGATTGCTAGGGATAAGTGGCCATTTCCTCTGTTGTAATTTCTTTTCATTCTTTGTCACTGTCCTTTAGAAATAAAATATAAGGATGGATTAATAAATGGCTATTAGAGGTTTCTTTGTTTATCACTTGGGTCTTTTTTTTTTTTAATACCGTTTTTGTGGTACAACAAACTACATGTATTTAAAGTGTACAGTTTGACCTCTTGCTATTATAAATAATGTTTCTATGAACATTCACGGACACGTTTTTATATAGGCATATGTTTTCATTTCTTTTGGGTGTGAGCCTCGTTGTGCCTTTCTGGGTCACATGGTACTATCTTTAACCATTTGAGGTATGGCTAGGTTGCTTTCCAAAGTGGCTGCACCATTTTACATTCCCACCAGCCGTGTGTGAAGGTTCCAGTTTCTCTGCATCCTCACCAGTGCTTGTCATTTGTCTTGTTAATTATAGCCATCCCATGTGGGTGTGAAGTGCAATCTCGGAGGGTTTGATTTGCGTTTTCTTGATGGCTAGTACTATTGAACATCTTTTCATGTGTTTCTTGGTCATTTGTGTATTTTCTCTGGAGAGGTGTCTATCAGATCCTTTGCTCGTTTTTTAATTGGGTTGCCTTTTTATTGCTGAGTTGTAATCTTTTTTATTCTAGATACAAGTCCCTTATTGGATGTGTGATTTTCAGAGTTTTTCTCCCATTCTGTAACCTTGTTTTCTTTTAAGAGTCTTAGTTTTAACTCTTATATTTGGATTTATGTTCCATTTTGAGTTAATTTTGTACATGTGTGTGGTAAGGTTCCAACTTCATTCTTTTGCATGTAGATATTAGTTGTCCAAGTACCATTTGTTGAAAAGACTATTCTTTCTCCCCATTTAATTGCCTTGACACCTTTGTTGAAAAGCAATCCACTGTTTTTCTCTGGATTCTCAATTCTGTTTCCCTGATCTGACCATCCATACGTCAGGTCAGTGCCACACTGTCTTTACTGTAGATTTATAGTAAGTTTTGAAAACCTGGAAGTGTGAGTCCTCCAACTTTGTTCTTCTTCAGCATTATTTGGCTGTTCTGAGTCCCTTGGATTTCCATATGAATTTTAGGATCAGCTTGCCAGTTTCTCCAAATAAGCCAGCAGGCATTTTAATAGGGAGTGTGTTGCTCTATAGACTAATTTGAGAAATAATTGCCATCTTAATAAGAGGTCTTTGATCTGTGAACATGGGATGTTTTTCTAAGTTTCACTGATTTTTCTCTATTGCTTTTCTATTTACTTTGCCGCTAGTTTTCACTCTGATCTTTATTATGTCTTTCCATGTTGGGATCAGTTGTTTTTTGTTGCTAGTTACTTAAGGTGGACACTGAAGTCATTGGGTGGAAGCCTTTCATTTTTTCAAACATAGACATGTAGTGTTGTACATTTCCCTCTAAGTACATCTTTAGTGTAAATTTTGACATGTTTTCTTTTTTCAGTTGAAAACTTCTTTGATGCATTTGTTATTTAGAAGTGTGTTAGTTTCCAGATATTTGGGGATTTTCTAGAGATCTTTGTTATTGCTTTCTAATTCCACTGTGACCAGAGAACATACTTTGTATGACTTGAACCTTTTTAAGTTAACGTAGACTTTTTTTCTAAACTCTAATTTTTTAATTTTATTGTAATAAAATCACTTAATATGAGATTTATTCTCTTAACATATCTTATGTGTACAATACATTAATGTTGACTCAAGGTACAATCAATATTGGGCAGCAAATCTCTAGAAATTATTCATTTTACCTAACTGAAATTTTAAGTCTGCTGATTAATAACTCTCCATTTCCCGTCCCTGCTCCTCCTGTTAACTAGCTTCCAGTCTTTTATTTTATGAATTTGGCAATTTTAGATACGTCATATTAATGGCATCATGCATACTTGTTGTTCTGTGTCTGGCTTGTTTGACTTAACCTAATGTCTTCAATGCTCATCCATGTGGTCACATTTACAAAAGTTCTTTTTTGAAAAACCTTTTTTTTTTAAGGCTGAATAGTATCCCATTATATGTTACATTTTCTTTATCCATTCATCTGTGGATGGACATTTAGGTATTTTTACATATTTGCTATTGTGACTAGTGCTGTAGTGAACATGGGAGTGCTGATATTTCTTTGAGATCCTGATTTCAATCTTTTGGATATATACCCAGAAATAGGATTGCTTGATCATATGGTAGTTCTATTTTTAATTTTTTCAGGTACCTTCATGCTGTTTTCCATATGAGATGACTTCTTTTATGATCTGCTTGGGAAATGTGTAGCTGCTATTGTTGAGTGTTCTGTGTCAATTAAGATGAATTGGTATATAGTTTGGTTTAAATCTTCTATATCCTTAATGATTTTCTTCATGTTCTATCAGTTTTTGTGAAAAGGTATTGAAATCTCTGAATATAAATATAGATTTGCCTTTTCTTCTTGCAGTTCTATTGGTTTTTGCTTGATGTATTTGGAAGCTCTCTTATTAGGTGCATATGTGTTTATGAATTGTATGTCCTCCTAATGAACTAATGCCTTTTAACACCATGAATATCTCATATCCCTGATAATATTCTGTACTCTAACATCTATTCTGTCTGATGTTAACAACTCCAGTTTTCTTTTGTTAGTGTTAGCATTGTATATCTGATTGCATTCTTTTACTTTTACTCTAATTGTATCTTTAAAGTGAATTCTTTCTTGTAGGCAGCTTATAAATGAGTCTTTAAAAAAATTCTGTCTGATAATCTCTGCCTTTTCATTGGGGTATTTGGTCTGTTTACATTTAATGTGACTGTTGGTATAGTTAGTTTAAAATCTATCATCTTGCTGTTTGTTTTCTGTTTGTCCTACCTGTTCTTATCTTTTCTGCTTTTTCTCCCTTGGTTTAGTGTGATATTTTTTGTGATTTCATGTTACTTCCTTTGTTGGTTTATTAGTTGTAATTTTATTTGCTTTATGATTTAGAATGTATATCTTCAAATTATACAGTCTGTCTTCAGATGGTATTATACCACTTTACATATAAGAACCTTACAGTAGTACACTTCCTTTTCTCTTCTGTCAACTTCTGTGCTCTTGTTGTTTTACTTTGCATGTATTATAAATCCCATTATATATTTGACATAAATTGTAAAACTTGTTACTATTTTTTTAAACAGCCATTTTTTATTTTTTATTTATTTATTTATTTATTTTGAGAGGGCATCTCATATTTATTGATCAAATGGTTGTTAACAACAATAAAATTCTGTATAGGGGAGTCAGTGCTCAATGCATAATCATTAATCCATCTCAAGCCTAATTCTTGTCAGTCTCCAATCTTCTGAAGCACAACGAACAAGTTCTTACATGATGAACGAATTCTTACATAGTGAATAAGTTCTTACATGGTGAACAGTACAAGGGCAGTCATCACAGAAACTTTCGGTTTTGATCATGCATATGAACTATAAACAATCAGGTGAAATATGAATATTCGTTTGATTTTTATACTTGATTTATATGTGGATCCCACATTTCTCCCTTTATTATTATTGTTATTTTTATTTTTAATAAAATGCTGAAGTGGTAGGTAGATGCAAGATAGAAACAGCCATTTTTTAAAGAGGTTTCAGTAACAACAAAAAAGCTTAATGTATTTGCCTACAGTTACCATTTCCTATGCAAATGATTCTTTTGTATAGGTCATATTTCCATTTGGTATAATTTTTTTTTCTTCCTGAAGGAATTCCTTTAGTATTTCTAATGGACAGGCCTGCAGTTGGTAGATTTTTTTCCAACTCTGTATTTCTGAAAAAGTCTTTATTTCACCCTCATCTTT